TGGTGTAGATATGTGGGCAGAGTTGGCATCGAGGTTTGTTGCATGGGTTGGTTCCTGAGTTAGAGTTGTTATGGTGCGGTGTGTGGTTGCTGGTGAGAATATGCTTAAGGTTGGCGGGTTGTCTGTGGGCGAGGACTGGCCTGCCTCCCAAGGTCTGTGAAAGAGAGGGATCATTGTCCAGGATGGGTTGTAGATCACTGATGATGCGTTGGAGAGGTTTAAGCTGATGACTGTAGGTGATGGCCAGTGGAGTTCTGTTGGTTTCTTTTTGGGGCCTGTCTTGTATCAGGAGGCTTCTGGGTACACGTCTGGCTCTGTTGATTTGTTTCTTTATTTCCTTGTGTGGGTATCATAGTTTTGAGAATGCTTGGTGAAGATCTTGTAGGTGTTGGTCTCTGTCAGAGGGGTTGGAGCAGATGCGATTGTACCTCAGTGCTTGGCTGTAGACGATGGATCGTGTGGTGTGTCCGGGGTGGAAGCTGGAGGCATGAAGGTAGGCGTAGCGGTGGGTGGGTTTTTGGTATAGGGTGGTGTTAACGTGGCCATCGCTTATTTGTACGGTGGTGTCTAGGAAGTGGACCTCCCGTGTAGATTGGTCCAGGCTGAGGTTGATGGTGGGGTGGAAGCTGTTGAAATCATGGTGGAATTCTTCCAGGGTCTTCTTCCCATGGGTCCAGATGATGAAGATGTCATCAATGTAGCCTAGGTAGAGAAGGGGCGTGAGTGGACGAGAGCTGAGGAAGCGTTGTTCCAGGTCAGCCATAAAAATGTTGGCATATTGTGGGGCCATGCAGGTGCCCATAGCGGTGCCACTGGTCTGGAGGTATATATTGTCACCAAATTTGAAATAATTGTGCGTGAGGATAAAGTCACAGAGCTCAGCAATAAGTTGTGCTGTGTCATCATCAGGGTTACTGTTCCTGTCAGCTTGTATTCCATCTGTGTGTGGGATGTTTGTGTAGAGAGCCTCTACATCCAGGGTGGCTAGGATGGTGTTTTCTGGGAGGTCACCAATGCATTGTAGTTTTCTCAGGAAATCTGTGGTGTCACAAAGATAGCTGGGAGTGCTGGTGGCGTAGGGTCTGAGTAGGGAGTCCACATATCCAGACAGTCCTTCAGTGAGAGTGCCAATGCCCGAGATGATGGGGCGTCCAGGATTTCCAGGTTTGTGGAACTTGGGTAGTAGATAGAATAACCCCAGTCGGGGCTCTAAGGGTATGTTGATTTGTTCCTGTGTTAGTGTAGGGAGTGTCCTGAGTAGACGGTGCAGTTTCTTAGTGTATTCCTCAGTGGGATCTGAGGAAAGTGGCCTGTAGAATTTGGTATTGGAGAGTTGTCTGGCAGCCTCCTTCTGGTAGTCAGACCTGTTCATGATGACAACAGCACCTCCTTTATCAGCCTCTTTGATGATAATGTCAGGGTGTGAAGAAGTGAGGTTCTTACCCATGAAAGCTTATGCTCCCAATACTTCTGTTAGTCTTAAAGGTGCCACAGGACCCTCTGTTGCTTCTTACAGATTCAGACTAACACGGCTACCCCTCTGAATTTTAAACAAGTGTGCTTTGATGTTCTTCTTCGGCTAAATGCAGACATGTATTCAAAGTAGATGTTTGCACGCTGGAACCTTTTGTCCAGCAGGACCCTCAGAGGGGAGGCACTCGCACCTCATGCCTGTAACCTGGCAGCGTCGCCCCGACCCCCCCTCAGTTCCTTTTTACTGCCTGTCAGGTATAGTCAGAGCTCTGTGTGTCTGTTGCTACAACCTCACAAATTTATAGCCCAACCTCCTCACACAGGATCATGGCTGCAACCCTGCTCCAGTGATCAGCTCTCTGCACCTTGCGGCGTGGCCGCTGCATGGCTTAGAGAGGAAGGAGGGTGTTGTTTGGAGGCTGTCCAACAGGTCCTACTTAACAGCAGGAGACCTTCCATTAGAATGATCTACAGGGCAAAGTGGAAGAGGTTTTCTCCATCAGTCCCATCTGACGGAGGCTTCCATCCAGGACATCCTGTAGCACCTTCAGGAATCAGGCCAAATATTGGCATTTCATCCCCCTGTTCAAGGGAAATCTGTTTTCTCAAAACAAAATTCTTGAGAGGTTTCTTCCGCCTGCTTACTCCAGTCAGAGAGGTGGCCCCTTTGTGGGACCTGAACATGGTTTTAGCAGCTATAATGGGGCCTCCATTTGAGCCCCTTGCTTCCTGCCTGCTGCCCCTCTTCTCTCCGAAGACTGCATTCTTGATAGCTATTACCTGTGCCAGAAGGGTATAAGAGTTGTAGGTCCTGATGGCTGGGCAGTTCTCCAGGGACAAGGTGATGCTTCGGCCACACCAAAGTTTGTATCCAGGGTGGTATCTCTAGTGTGCTTTGATGTTTGTCAGTTGCACCTGAACCAAGTGATGTATCTACCTATATTTTTCCCCAAGCCGCATTCCTCCCTGGAGGAGCAACACCTCCATATGCTAGATGTTAGATGCTGTCTGAACAGGACTGAAAAATTTCGTGTTTTTCCTCATCTGTTCGTATCATATTCAGACCACATGAAGGGACAAGTGGTCTCTGCGCAGACCATCGCTAGATGGACAACGTTTTGCATCGTTACATATGAGATGGCATTGGCTATGCCTCCTCAGCAGATACGGATGCATTTGATGAGAGCACAAGCAACATCAGCGGCATTCCTTAATGGCATTTCCATATTGAACATTTGTAGTGCGGACACTTGGTTGTCTGTACACACATTAATGGACCATTATGCAATCACTGCTTCTTCCAGAACAGACGCTAACGTTAGAAGAGCAATCCTACGATCCTTGCTTAGGTAGACTCTGGATATTCGGTGCAAAGGAACAGGGGGGAGAAGGGGCGTTCAGGGTGGCGCTGCCTCATATAGCCAGGGGAGGTGCTACGGGCATGAGCGCCACCCTTCTACGGGTACTGCTAGGCAAAAGACTGTGGCGTGCGCACACGCCTACTTGGAATACAAGTCTACATCACATCTCAAAGAACCGTGGTTACAAGTAGCCGTTACTTTTTGAAAGCTAGATCAATAGCACTAAACTCACAGGTCTTGTAGTTCTCTATGGAACGGAAACTACATAGGGTAGAAGCCGTGCAAATTTCCTTGCAGTGCTTCACCAATGATCCACAACTCTTCCTTCTTAGAGACTCTATCTGGAGTAATCAGTTCTCCAGAGCTACTAATCTTTTATTCTTTGGTAAGAATGCCCTTTTTGGAAATGTTTATGATGTGGGCATATGTCTGTAAGGAACTGGATTGAAACCCAAACTCATCTCAAAAAAGCCACCAAACAGCTTTCAAATAGCAATAAATTTGATGACAATGTCAGTGATCAGACTAGTGAACTATATTTCAGCTAATGACGAGAGTTTAAAAGGTTCTTCATTCCATTATCTTCGTTACTATAAGACTTGCAGTGCCCCAAAGGAAAAGATTTCTGTTTGCAGACATGCAAATACACATTGAATGCCCAGTGTCTTTAACTAATTAACTTTCTCTGGAAGACATATTTTATCATCTCCCTGCCTTTAAAAAAACGATAACATGTTTTAGCAAGGTGCCAGGCTGTGTGGCTGTTTGGCAGACCACTCTTTCTTCCGACAGCCAGTGTAGACCTACACGTTTTCATGGGTGGGAGACAACATGATGAGGTAAACCCCTCCTCCTTGTCACTGTAAACAGGTTATAAAGTGAGGAAAAGCAAAATAACATCAACACAGTTATTTGGAAGTATTGGAGGATCTCAAATCTGCACTTGTGGGTCTACTTTTTGAAGGGATTTGGTTAACAGTTTAATACTGGAACTATTTTCTCATTGTTTCTATATTTCGTATACATCTTATATTAGCATTTTGGAGATGAAAGAATCAGGATGATTTTTCAGACTTAGAAACTATTAGGAAAATATTGCTGGAACAAAAACAATTTGTAGTCACTGCAAACTGAAAATGTTTTATCCAAAGTTACTATATTTAATTGAGCAAGTAGTAGTGTAGTAGATTGGCATGAGTGTGATACCTCTGTTTTTGGGTAAGGGATTTTATCGTCAATGTACTGTTGTATTAGACTTTTCCCTGTCATGCAATGGGCTATAGATTGAGGGTTTTAGGCTTTACTGTAATACAAATAATAATGCATTGCTACCATTCCTATAACAATGCCTTATAATATTATAAAACAAGGATGTATGGTTTTTCTATGAGAGCTCGGGAGGAAGCCCATCGGATGGAGATTTTATATCCTTTTAAAAGTTGTAACAAAGGACTGACAATTAGATTCTGAGCTCGTCTATATGGGAAGCTGGTCCTGATAAACTGGTCCTGATTAATTCCCTGTGTGGATGTTCTTATTCCAGAATAAGAAGGCTTTATACCAATTTTGCTTAGTACATTTTGGAAGTGGATTCATTTTAGGGCTTGTCTACATGGGAACACTAAGGAAAATTAATAAAATTAACTTTTAAAGTTAAATTGCATTAACCCCCATGACTATGCTCTTATTCAGAATTAAAAGGGCCTTAATTTGGATTACTTTAATTCTTAAATTTACACCTTTTAGGCCCTATGTAGATAAAACCTAATTCAGAATAAGGCCCTCTTATTCCAGAATAAGATCATCTAGACAGGAAGTTATTCCAAAATATCTCTTCTGCTTTAAATTCACACCTTACCTTAACCCAAATTAATTTTCCAGTAGACAAGCCCTCTATTTAATTGATTTGCGTGTGTGAAGAATGCCTCATTTTTCACTGCTTTCTGACTTTGTCCCATTTCCCCATTTCTTCCACTTAATCAACGTTGTTTATTTTCTTGAGGCATTTAGTTTTCCTACCTGATCAGCAACATAGGTTTTATACTAGAAGAACAAGTTCCTCACATGATCTCTGACTGCTAAAGTTATTGTTTTGTACACAACTAGTTAATCACCCACATTGTTGTTTTATTAAAACTGATCTCTCCTTATCTTTTCTTTGCACAGGGTAAACAAGGCAAACATGTCTTATATGGCTGCAGTGAACTTTTTAATGCTGCACAGTTTATAAAACAGGTAAGTTACCACTAGTATCATTTTAAACTTTCAATACTTTGAGTTAATTGCCTTAATATCCCATCGCTGATTTTATTGGATTCAGTTGCAGAAATTGAACTATTTTAAACACTTTAATACAGATTGAAATATAGATCAACTGGTAAAAGTTTAAAAAAAAAAAAATTATAATTTAAGAGGCCTGAGTTGTAAATGGGTATTTAGCAAGTGCACATATAACAGATGAATATGGTTTGTAATCAAGTATGCTTTAATTAAATGTCTCCAAGTAACATAAACTGTTATGGAGAAGATGGATTGATTTCACAGAACTCCTCCAAATTCGCATGTCAATCCATATTAGCTGTTGAAATACCCCAGCAGGGTAAATACCTCCATCTGACACTGTTTTGAAAGCTTTGGCTTAAGCTTTTCACGTTTAGGCTTTGTCTATACTACCAGGGTAAGTCGACCTAAGTTACACTACTCCAGCTACATGAATAACGTAACTGGAGTCAAAGTAGCTTAGGTCGATTACCCCGGTGTCTACACCACGCTGCGTTGATGGGAGATGCCCATCAACTTACTTTACTCTTCTTGTTCCGGTGGAGTTGACCAAAGAGTGATCTGCAGTTGATTTAGCGGGTCTTTACTAGACCTGTTAAATTGACCCCCCCCCCCCGCTGCATCGATCGCAGCAGCGTCGATCCCCGGTAAGTGTAGACATGGCCTAAGTGCCTGACCTTGAGAGTGCTACACCCATGAACTGCAGTGGGAGTTGCAGGTCCCCCATACCTTTTGGAATAAGCCCTTAAATGACAGTGAGACTTAATTAACAGTAATATCAATTTCTCCACACTCCTTTCCAACGATATACAACTGCTCAGCCTAGTTGACACTGTTGAGCATTTCTTAGCACTGCAGTGCCTCCCATCACCTATATTTCTTCCTTTGTTAGTCCTTTCATGGTAGTTAAAGCAAATCAATTGGTATTTAAATACATCTGGCAGAACTAAGCACATTCTTACTTAATAGGGATGAGAGTACTTAGTGTACACTGTTAAGCCGACAGCTCTGTACTCAACTGTGTGACTATAGATTTTTCTTTTTATGAAAGATTGGCTTTGTTTAGTAGACATTCCAGAGCTGTTCATATTTTATTATCAGGACAAAATAAATCAATGTTTTTTATACCTTACACTTTTCTCTTATCTAGCATTCTTTCATTTGTAAACAGCAACCAAATATTGTAAAAAAACAAAAAGTTTGCTCTTTAAACTGAATTATTGGGCTAAAAAATAATGCTGGCAATGTGATTTTTTTTTTCTTTTGCCTCTTTGTATTTAGCTGTCCCAACTTGGGCAGAAATAGGACCGAAAAACACCATTATTTGAAACTACCTGGCAATTTGGAAGTGTGAAGAAAAAGATCATGACAACAATCAGATGACACCTTCATATCTATAACCTTGTTATAACATTAAAACTTAAACCGTTCCATTAATCTGATAATTTTGAAGGAAGGCCTGTACTTAACATAGTGTATATGAATAACATTTCAGAAAATAAAACTTAATCTATATTCTGTCTGCTGCAACATTTCTGTGGTTGGTGCATTTTACGTTTTTAGATTGCAAATGTAATTGTGGTATGTCTGGGACTTGAGTGCAATAGAAAGTGTATATGCAAGACCTACATGCAGATAATAGCATTTATCAGGTACCATATGTATCCCTTAGTTCTTGTTACAGTAACTGACACAATCGTTTTAAACAAAAATTAAGAGAAAATTGCTTAACTTGAAGAAATATGTTCTCCTATTGAAAGCCAGACCATCTAAATGTATGTTAGAAAATGGAAGAAGACAAAACTGCATTTTTAGGCTTGTATGTTTATCAGGGGAAAATTCTAGTAACAATGTCACAAGACTGGGAAATAGCAAAAATCATAAGAACCTCATGGATATGTTTTGTAGAACCCAAACTAATTTTTCAGAACCAGCTATAAATGATCAGTGTTTTTAAGCATTTCATAAGAACATAAGAATTGCCATAGTGAATCAGTGGTCCATCTCGACTACTGTCCCCTCTCCTACAGTGGCCTGAACCAGATATTTCAGAAGAAGGTGCAACAAGCTCTTCAGAAAGTTTGTGTTCCTAACCTGTGATAGAGATCAGCTGGAACATTGAAATATGTGAATTTCCAAAACTGTATTATTTCTTCTAACTTCAGATATTCTTGTCATCCACATAAATACCCAGTTCTTTTTTTAATTTTAGACTCAATATTTTGTACCAAAGGGTTCTGCTGGCTAATTGTGCCTTGTATAAAAAATAGGGCTGTTGATTAATTGCAGTTAACTCACGTGATTAACTCAAAAAAATTAATCACTGTTAAAAAATTAAACACGATTAATCAGTTTTAATTGCACTGTTAAACAATAGAGTACCAATTGAAATGTATTCAATATCTGTGGATAATTTTCTACATTTTCAAATATATTGATTTCAATTAGAACACAGAATACAAAGTGTACAGTGCTCATTTTATATTATATTTGATTACAAATATTTACACTGTAAAAATGATAAAAGAAATAGTATTTTTCAATTCACCTCATACAAATACTGTAGTGCATTCTTTTTTGTGAAAGTACAATTTACAAATATAGATTTTTTTTGTTTTTTTGAACTGTACTCCAAAACAAAACAATGTAAAACTTTAGAACCTACAAGTCCACTCAGTCCTACTTCTTATTCAGCCAGTCGCTAAGACAAACAAGTTTGTTTACATTTACAGGAGATAATGCTGCCCACTTCAAATTTACGTCACCTGAAAATGAAAACAGGCATTTGCGTGGCAATTTTGTAGCGGCATTGCAAGGTATTTACGTGCCAGATGTGCTAAACATTCGTATTTCCCTTCATGCCTCTGCCACCATTCCAGAGGACATGCTGATGACACTCATTTTTTAAAAAAAAATGTGTTTTTTAAAATTTGTAACTGAACTGCGTGGGGGAGAATTGTATGTCTCTGGCTCTGTTTTACCCACAGTCTGCAATATATTTCATGTTACTGCAGTCTCGAATGATGATCCAGCATGTTCGTTTTAAGAACACCTCCACTGCAGATTTGACAAAATGCAAAGAAGGTACCAATGTGAGATTTCTAAAGATAGCTACAGCACTCGACCCAAGGTTTAAGAATCTGAAGTGCCTTTCAAAATATGGGAAGGAAGAGGTTTGGCGCATGCTTTCAGAAATTTTAAAGGAGCAACACTCCGATGTGGAAACGACAGAACCCGAATCAGTTTTTCAGAAGCCTTCATTGCAGTTCATTTACAACTGTTAACCTGCTCATTCATCTGCCTGCCCAGTCAAAATTTCAGCATGAAACTGGCGGAATCCGTGGTCCTCTGAACTCACGTTTATCTTTTTTGCATGATCATTAAATGTGTAACTGTTTTAATTGGGTATTGTAACAGAAACTGTTTAAAATGTAACTTCTTCATGAACACTAAAACAAAATCACAATACAGCACTTACTGCTTTGTAAGTCTAAAATTGAAATACATTATAACTATAGCATTTTATGGTGGATGCTGGTTCAGGGGATTTTTTTTTAATGCAAATTTCTCAGATGGACTTAGCCACAGAGTGCACAGGGGAGTTTCTTAATTAGAGCAGCCCTGTAATGGCTGGATTAATATTGTCACTTCCCCAAAATAGTATATCTCTACAGGAGGTGACTCTCAGCCTGCCCTACCAAATCAGTACGGTTTGAGAGGTGGAAATTTCTTCAAATGAAATAATTACACAACATACCACAAGAGAGGTTCTACTTCCTGAAATGGTGGAATTCTTTGGGGGAAGGGAGGCAACTATCTCACGTGTGTGTTGTGTGTGCACACATACATATTTTAATAATTTTATTTAAGAACTGTGAGATTCTGTGATTTGTTGCTTTAATGGTTGAAATTTTCCAGGATGCTTCTTTCCACAACCTTTGAATTTTTCAACTACCTTCTTTTGTAACATTAATTTTGTTCAAAGGGAAATCCTTTTCTGATACCAGTGAATTCTTAGACATCCCCACACAAGTAATGCATTTCATCTACTCCTTAAAACATGAGTACAAAGTAATACAAGAAAACACATGCATTTTTAGTGCCATTTTATCCATAGGAAATATTGGAAATAAAAATCATCATAAGAACATAACATAAGAATGGCCCTACTGGGTCCATCTAGCCCTACAGAATGACCCTACAAAGGTCCATCTAGCCCAGTATCCTGTCTTCCAACAGTGACCAGTGCCAAGTGCCCCAGAGGGAAAGAACAGAACAGGTTATCATCAAGTGATCCATCCCCTGTCGCTCATTCCCAGCTTCTGGCAAACAGAGGCTAGGGACACCATTCCTTCCCATCCTGGCTAATAGCCATTGAACATATGCACTCTTTCATTATCTCAGCTCAGCAGTCTGGCTAGTACCTGTAACTACTGGCACTCCCCATCTTCAAAAAAACCCTATTTCAGTCCAGTTCTTATACTAACCTCATCCCTATAGTATGTGAGCACCAGTAGTGCATAAAGCAACATGACTAACATCTGTTACTTGTAACTCATCCTTGCTCTCATTCTCTACCCAGTGGGGAAATTGCATGTGCAGGTTTTTGTTTGTTTTTAATAAATTATACTGTGCTATGTGTTTATATTAGTGAAGATTAGTGAAAATGAGGTCAAAGTAGTGCATCTGGCACTTGGAATGGAAGAGAGTGAATGTTGAGGTGGTTCTTCATTCCTATGGGAGTTTGTTCCAGAATCTTGGGCCAAACTATGAGAGAGCTCCATTTCCTGCACAGGTGAGCTTTGCCCTTGTGGTGAACTGCTGAGTGCTTGAGAAGCAATGTTGTTGACCACATACATCAGTCCAACTCTTTTGGCAATTTCTTAGATATCCTGGGCCCAAGTCATTGAGCACCTTGGGGGAAAAAGGACCAACATCTTGAATTTAACACACTGTTCTATAGGAAGACAGTGTAATGAGCAAAGGATAACTTGTGCTCACTGTAGCCCAGATTGCTGAGGATATGTGCTTCTGCATTCTACAGTAATTGGAGTCTCCTGATGGCTGAGAGCTTCATGCTGAAGTAGAAGTGGTTGTGTTCAAACCAGGAAGTGACAAAGACTGGGACAGAGCCACCTTACCATCTGTGGTTGGCAAAGAGCATTATCCATGGATGCTGCTATGTGAGCACTTAGCATCAGCAAGGAATCCAGGAGCACTCCTAAACTGTGGACTGAACTGACCAGTTATGGGTGTGTATCTTCAACCAAAGGACACTGCACTATGGCTGCAAACTCTGCAAAATGCCTTCCATTGTCAAGCAGCAGAAACTCTGCTTTTTGCTTGGGTTCAGCTTCAAATGTATGGGCTTGAATCTGTTTAGGACTGTTTACAATTTTAATATATACCAGGTGGCTTTTCTTATTGATTTCAAAGTTTGTTCAATATTTAAACTACAGTTTAGGCAGATTTAGTTCCATTTCACATGTTCTGGAGTTATGATTCACATTGTCATTTTTTCTAAATTATGTAGAACCAGGTTAACCAAGCTTTCGCAGCCAAATTTACCATTCCTTATAATTACTACCCCTTTTTGCAGGCCGAATTGAGTCTGATTACCCTCTGCTACACCTCTTCAATTTTAGCGAATTCCTGCCCACAGTACAGTGACTAGTAAAGCATTATAGTTGTGGTTCCACTTATTACATCCACTGCTTTAATACCTTTTCATCTCAATGCAACCTTACAAATTCTGATTTCTCTTTGGTTGCTCTCTGGGATTAATAGAAATCAACCATATGGGATATCTTGTCATTTGTTCTCTTCTTAACTTGTTTCTCTCCCTCGTAAAAAAATAAAATAAAATAAAAAAAGTTTCAAAAAGGGAGAATGTTTAAATCTTTAGACATGGGACACATTGTCAAATACTCAGTAAAATTCATTTGCTATCTTCCAAGCATCTAGAGGCGCCTTAAAGCTTTGCTGTGTGTACTTCGTCATTTGCTACTTGAGCAGTGCATAAGTTTTATTAGTAAAGCTTTAATATATTTCTAAATAAATGTATTGTTCCTCCACAACACACACAGTTTGGTTTTCATGTTTGATACATTCCACACCTTATATTTTGTGTCCGCATCAAAACGAAGTACAGTAGAGTCTCAGAATTACGAACACGTCGGGAATGGCGGGTGTTCATTACTCTGAAATGTTCACAACTCTGAACAAAATATTATGGTTCTTTCAAAAGTTTACAACTGAACATTGACTTAATACAGCTTTCAATCTTTACTATGGAGACAAAAAATGCAGCTTTTAACAATCTTAATTTAAATGAAACTAGCACAGACATAGTTTCCTTACCTTGTCAAATCTTTAACTTTCCCTTATTTTTTTTAGTAGTTTACATTTAACACAGTACTGTACTGTATTTGCTTTTTGTTTGTTTTTTCGTGTCTGCTGCTGCCTGATTGTGTACTTCCAGTTCCAAAGGTCCGGTCAGTTCGTAACACGTGTTCATAATACTGAGATTCTACTGTATTTCACTGGGGCATCTCTTTGTGAAAATTTCTATAGCATTTACTGGTCCTTTCTACCATCATTGGAATATTACATGTTCCTGTTAAGTGGCCCATCTCCAAAAGAGATCAGTAGTAGAAAAGGAATGCAAGGGATCAGGCAGGGAAACCTTTAGCAGGATTATTGTCTGCATCATTCTAAGGGCTATTGAGGTTAAGAGAAAGCTCTTTATGTGAAAGACAGATTTGGGCCATGTGTGGATCAGGCCCTTAGACTTTAAACCAAGTAGCTCAGCACTTCTGATGCTGCTAATTCTACTGATGCTGAGTGGCAGCTTAGGCTCAGTAGATGGTAGATCACGGTCTTACCTCCTGGCTCAGCTTCCTCTTTAGCACTTCCCACATAGTTGCTGCTGCTATCTTACTAAAGAAATAAGTATCTTACTCTTGCTAAAGAAGAGTCAAAGAAGTTCTGTGAGATACTTATTTAAAAGAGAGAGAGAGAGAAATAGTTGCATCTACTACTGTGTTTTCTGAATCGGAACTTTCCAGAAGGTGAGGGAGTGGTGCTGATGGACAGCTCCAGCTTATTGCACAGTAACAAGTCTGGGTTTGCTGTCTCAGAGGATTGGGAAACCATCATTGGGGTTTACTTGCTCACGCTGGGTAAGTAAAAAGCAAATTCGGACTGTGTTTCAAATTTTATTTTCTGTTCTTCGCTCTGAAGAGAGATGTGCA